TGAAGTTCTAATGTATTTAAATTTGTTAAGACTGGAATTTTCAATTCATTTCTTAATATAATTAATATAATTTGTTTCTTTTTTTTTTTTGGTTTTTTGAGACAGGGTTTTTCTGTGTGGCTTTGGAGCCTATCCTGGCACTCACTCGCTCTGGAGACCAGGCTGGCCTCGAACTCACAGAGATCCTCCTGCCTCTGCCTCCCGAGTGCTGGGATTAAAGGCGTGCGCCATCAACGCCCGGCTATAATTTGTTTCTTAATATAAAATCTTGGGGTTGAATGAGAAAGGGAGGGTTGTGGCTTAATGGTGATGTGTTTGTGTCAAGTTGACAAGAGATCAATTGTGCTGAACAGTTCTATGTCAACTTGACATGGCTGGGGTCATCCTAGATGACGGAGCATCAATTTAAAACTTGCCTCCCTAGGATCAGGATGTAGGAAAGTCTGTAAGGCATTTTCTTAATTAGTGATTGACAAGGGAGAGCACAGCCCATTGTGGGAAAGGCCACCCCTGGGCTGGTGGTCCTGGGTTCTTCAAGAAAGCAGGCTGAGCAAGCCATGAGAAGCAAGCCAGTAAACAGCACCCCTCCATGGTCTCTGCATCAGCTCCTGCCTCCAGGTTCTCATCCCTTTTGAGTTCCTGTTCTGGCTTCCTTCATTGATGAACTACAATTTGCTTTAGTCATGGTGTTTCATTGCAGCCATAGCAATCCTGACTAAGACAGTAATTATTGTGATGAAAACATTTAACAGAAGAATCAATGTAATATTTGTTAAAAAGCAGTATGTGTTACTTGTAAAGGAAAAAAATTGAACTGTTAAGCTAACATGAAAGATCTTCTGAATAAGTCATCTAAAGATCTTCTGCTACAGAAACTTTCTAAAATGCTTGCATATATAATAAGAGAGTCACAGAGTTAGCCCATAATAGGGTTAATATACATCATAGAGTAATGCATAAAAAGCCCAGTGCCAGGATTGGTCACCTCTTTTGGAGTTGTTGGCCCATGAAATAGCATTGACCCCCAAACACTACAGGCTTTACCAATGCTCATGATTTCCCCATAACTGGGCTAAAAGACCCTATTGAAAAAGACACGGCATACTGGAGTCAGAACATGGAGAAGTCAAGCTGGTACTGATCTGAAAGCTCATCCCTACTGGATAGCTTTCATGGTGCTGGAAGATGCTATGAAGGCTAACTGAAGAGAAAAGCAATCACTACCCTTACCCAGCAGTGAGCCCTGAAAGCTAAAATAATGGGATGCCTGGCAAAACATGCCCACTTGTTCAATAGTGCCACCAATTTTACTGGAATAACCAGCCACTTTCTGCTTGGATTTAAAATGGAACCTATACTTGGCATTGCTCTTTGAGCCAAGAACCTATGGCTAAACAGGTCACCCACCCCTAAGTCAAAGCCTACTACTATTATCCTGTTAATGGGACATCATGTTAAGGCAATTCTTAATGACTTATTGAACTTAGACCTCACCAGAGAAGCTTCTTTAGCTATAGGTGGTGTTTAACAGAGAGACCTACAACAGCTTAAGTGCAGAGAATAAGAGACTGTGTAGTGGTCAGCCCTAAATGGGACATCACATACCATCCTCCCAAGGATCAGAAGTCATCTCAGAAGAGAGAGTGTAAAGACAGTAAGAATCAGAGACAGTGGATGACTGGAATGTTGTGATGTTTTCTGGATACAGAGGGAAGTTGCACATATGATCTCGGAGGCAGCTGGTGACACCATGCACAGAGCCTGGGCACCCTCGATATTGACAAAATTCCAGCATGGAGTGGGAAGGTGGCTACTAGTTTCCCACAGAAGTCCCTAGTTGAGTAACTATTGGTAGTTGATAGCATCTGGGGAAGGAAGAGTTATTTCTTTGAGAGTGTGGCCACTGGTTGGTTGACCACATTCTAGCAGAGAGCGCACACCCAAGAACATAAACAGAATAAATTGCAGCCAGTGGGTGTTTTTTTTTAACTAAAGACAATGTTGGGTGGGTATGAAATGTTGGTAAATAAAATGGGAGAGAGGTGTGAATATGATCAAAATGAATGAAATTCTCAAAGAATTAATAAAAATATTTTAGATGTGCACTCAGAAAAATACTTATGAGAACACACAGCTGAAGTGAATTTTTAAAAATGGCATAACCATTTGGCAAATTTCTTAGCCAGCATAAAATTTATTAAAGTATTACATAGTTAGGAAATTAAAAGGCATCTTTTTACAAAAATATGATACCTTAAGATATGACTCACATAATTTACCCATTCAAGGTATAATATTCCTTTCTAAGACTTTCATAATCACATCTATACATATTTATGTGGTATAGGATTATAGTTAGACACACACAAACACAAGCAAAATGTGTAATGATCAAACAAGGGAAATAAATACTTCTAAGTCCTCAGCATTTTATGATTTCTTTGGGCTGTCTTGAAATGTTTCGTGAGTCCTGCGACCTGGAGTCAGCTACTGTAGAGCATCAGAACCAGTCTCTCAGTCTCTAGTCATTGTTTTCTGAAACCTGTGATCTCACCACCACCCGTTTCCAGTCTCTAATAAACATGGCTCTATTCTTTTATTCTGAAACCAGATTTTAGCACCCATAAATGATGACAAATATGCAGTATTTTGTCTTTCTGTGTCTGGTTTATTGCACATACTATGCCCCCAAATTCAATTCATGCTGCTGCAAATTAGAGGATTTCATTCACTCTTTCTATGAGTCAATGATGTTCTATTTTATGTAATGTACCACAATGTATTTACCCATTAACTCATCAATGGGCACCTTTGTTGGTTCCATTTCTTGGCTATTGTGAGTAGCATCACAATACTGTCCATGCAGATTTGGTGTGCTTTATCCCCCTCGGAATGTGTGCTCAGTAGGGTTGTTGGGTCATTCCTCTCTCCTCCACAGTACTGGCTCACTGCATTCTGTTCTTCTCAAAGTAGCTAGCTTTTCCTTCATCTGGAGACTTCTTCCCACTCTGATTTCCCTCCCTTCTCTTCTTCATTTCACACGCTTTGTATGTTTAGTAGTATAAATCACTCCAAAATAAAAGATAAACTAGCAAAATCATAAGCATTAGGAAATGGAAGTGAGTTCTATACAGCTTTATAAATAATACTGGTAAGCTCAAAGAATTGTTTGTATATTTAGGGAAAGAAACTATTTCATTCCCCAAAGCACCTACAAAAAAAATATCCACTCCTGAGAAAAACCATCACTATCTTTAAGCTCTAGTTTGTTCTTTCCTCAAATCTAAACAGAGTCCTATCTATCTGATATTTTATGGTCCTTCACCAATTGTTTTGTTCTTTCTTTATTATTTCCTTAATAACTGTCAGTGTGTCTTTTAATTAAATACAGTGATGTCCTCTTATCCTCTATCATTTTCTTCCTAGGAGACACTATCTACTGAAACAAGGTATTGACTGATAGTTTTGCCTTGACTCTAATAATGGTGGTGTTGCCCTCCTCCTCCTCCTCCTCCTCCTCCTCCTCCTCCTCCTCCTCCACCACCTCCTCCTCTTTCTACTCCTTCTCCATGACTCTGGTACTGTGGCTTTGTCTTCCTCCTCCTCCTCCTCCTCCCCGTCCTCCTCTTTCTACTCCTTCTCCATGACTCTGGTACCAATGATTTTGTTGTCTTCCCAAAGATCTTTATTTGGAGACACTAGCCAGGACCTCCCCATTCAACTGCTGTTTAAAACATGTAAGTAGAATTTACTTAGAACTTTATACAGAAGTCATTAATCACATTCCCTTTGTCTGTCACATCGGTAGGCTTCTCCTCCTGTGCAGAGTGATTCATTCTCCCATGATCTTTACCAAGGCTAACTTTACTGTTTTCATTTCTTTTCCCCTCACTCTTAAGATGTATAGTAAGCCATGTGCCTTTAATCCCAGCTCTCAGGAGACAGAGGCAAGTGAATCTCTGTGAATTTGAGGCTAGCCTGGTCTACAGAGTGAGTTCCAGGACAGCCAGAGTTGTTACATGGCGAAGCACTGTCTTGAAAAACCAAAACCAAAACAAAACAAAGATGTATAGTAAAAAAGAAATAACAGCAATGTCATCTTATGAAATGAATAGAATTTCCTGTTTATAAAGGGAAGACTAGAAATCTCAACCAATTAAATAGCTTTCCCTAAAAGAAAAACCAAAATCTGAAATCTTACTATGTCAAGTACCAAGGAAGACTCAGATCCAGATCTCTTCTACACTTTGCTCTGAGCACTCACACTTGTGAAACAGACCATGCTTTTGTTGGAGGTAGGGGTCTGTATCCAGATAGTACAGTTGGAGAAGGACTAAGTTTTCAGTAGAAAGGGAGCCCAGACATCCATGTGTGCTTACAAAGACTATTTAGCCCTATAAAGGCTTGTTTCCCCATTCATTACATCAGGACAACTGATGCTGTGAAGAGCTGTAGTGGTAAGTATGCATAGTCCTCAGTGGTTTCTGATGGGGCTTCTTAGTCATAGTAATGAGAGGAGCTCCAAGTCTGTCACTTGCCGTGACACGCCCTTTCTTCCATTTTCAACTTCCCCATTTATAAAATGAGGATGACAGCATTCTCTAGATCATAAGATTAAATACTACTATTTAATCGATAAAGTTAAATTATTTTCTTAAAAGGTGCTCTCAACAGATTTTATTGCTTAAGAAAATAGATCCAGCAAAAATTTGAGACATAGTATGTTTTCACTTCTGGCCTCCAGAGGGCAGCAATGTTGCATAGACTGAATATCTACACTGAAAAAAAACATGTCATTCCAGAGAGTCTTTTCACCTCACAGATCTCTGAGGTGCAGTTTGTGAGCAGACAGGGCGCTAGAGCAGTCGTTGCCAAGGAAGCATCTCTCAGTTAATAGCCTCCAAGCCTTGTTCATAGGGAGCTCTCCAGTCTGTGTTCTTCTCATTCCTGCTCAGGGAGATTTCCCAGAATACATCTCCCTGCCTTCTCACTGCCTAGAGATGTTTTCAGTGACCTTTCTGCTGCTCGGCATGCTCTTCTCACTGAGTAAGTAACATTTCATTCCCCACCGTTGTTTCCATTGAAGGAACATGTTTCTAGCCAGAGTCTAAACAAGGGACATAGTCTCATTACAGGTAGGTCTGTCCTGGTCTCACTGATGATGCGTTGGTTTTACAGGAGGAAACAGAGCCCAGACAGTGGTCCAGCCTGATGCTCACCTCACTGTCTCTGAAGGAGCCTCACTAGAGCTCAAATGCAGCTATTCTTATGGTGCAACACCCTACCTCTTTTGGTACATCCAGTATCCTGGCCAGAGCCTCGAACTTCTCCTCAAACACTTCGGAGGAGACACTCTTGTTAAAGGCATCAAGGCTTTTGAGGCTGAGTTTATGAAGAGTAACTCCTCCTTCAACCTGAGGAAAAAGTCAGCCCATTGGAGCGACTCAGCCAAGTACTTCTGCGCTCTGAGTGACACAGTGCCTGAGGCTGCAGGGGGAGCTGAGCACAAACCTCCTGAGACTTTCTGTCTTAAGGGCACACCATAAATGATTCAGAGAAAGGTCACTAGTAATGAAGATGATCAAAATGGAGGAGCAGGGATGTGATGAATGTTTGACTCCTAAAAGGAAACAGAAATTTAGTGTATTCCTTATTTTACTATGGAGTCATGTCAGAATGAACTTAGGAGACAGATCCTCAGATGGATATCCTTCTGCATGGAGACAATGAGTGCTAGAGACACCACACTCAGGACCACAATATGGTGTGACCAGGTCTGATCTCCTGACTGTCCCCAGTCACCTATCAAATGCTCCTTAGGTCACCAACATTTGTGTTTCAACTGTAGTAGCAATGTGGCTATATCATGAGTTACCAAAGACTTTGCACTCAGCCGTCACATACAACCTACTGAGGAATCAGTTTGGCCCTACCTTAAAAATGGATGTCCTCTCTAGCCACCACTTTCTTTCTCTTTGACAAGATGTGACAGATTTCTAAAGTGTCGTGCTGCATGTTATACTACAGTCTGTTCTAAACACAATAACCAGTGAGGTTTCTTAACACAGGATCGTGGCACAGTTGGCTCAGATCCTTGCAATAGTGTAATAGTGTCCTGTTTTTCCCAGAGTAAAATCAAAGTCCTCATAATAGCCTGGTGTAGTTCCTGAAGTAGACAAAGCTATGTCCCATTATATTTTAAAGGCTGCTTGAGAAATGTCAGTCCTAACTTCTAAAGGCAAACAAAAATATCCTGTAGAAACTGAAGTAAAATATGGTCATTTTTAAATAAAAGTGAATGGTGGGAATTCATCCTCAATGAATTCTAAAAGAAACAGTTTCACTAACACTCCACTATGTCTCTTTCTTCCTCTCTACTCCCTTGTGATTTCTTCCGCCCTGGTATGGTCCTGTCTACTTCTATGACACACACACATACACATGCATGCACACACACACACACACACACACACACACACACACACACACACTGACACACAAAAGCACAATATAGCATGCACACGTGCGCCCCCCCCCCAACACACACACCTATTCCACATATGAGAAAAAAACCTTGAATGTTTGTCTTTGTGCATTTAAGTTGTTCTTAGTGAAATGATTTTCAGGGGTAAGGAAGAGGGCTGGCAAGAGATAGGCAGGCAGATAGGCGAAGGCACTGGAGAAGGAGTGTGAATAAGAACAAAATACAATGACGTAAGTGTTTTAACACGTCATAGTATACATAGTAAAACCCATTGTTTTCTATTCTAAATATAAATGTAAAAATGAAAGTGAATATCATAATTTTTAAAAACTAAATCAAAACAGAATCTCCTGATTGGAATGAGAGGCTATCCAAGGGATTGGAATCTCAAGAATGAAGGGAGAGTGGCCGAAACAGCAAATCTACAGTAAAATACAAGAAACAAATCTTCTCTTTTTACAATAGGCATATTAAGATTAAATGATATGCAAAAGCTGCCCTATCTAATATACAATTTTATGAGTTTGGACACACACACAAACACCCTTTAAGTCATTATCACAGTGACCCTTTGGGGACTTATTTGCTGACATTGTTGCCATTTCTAAACATCTCATGTGCAGTCTGTCCACATGGGTCTTGAGCTTCTGTTGGTTGGTTTGTTGCTGACTCTGCACTTGGCTTCTGCAGGGGGGGGGGGCACCAAATATCGGGTCCCAGAACGGCCACCATAAACAGCAGTGGTGCCAGGAGACTCCGGCCCACTATTGTATTGTTAATGTCAGCAGGGATACTTTTGTTTACCATGGCCTCAGGATAATATGCCTCCTTATTTGCATATCTATGCACCTAAGCGTCTGTATAGGCCTGCACCTGGGCAGGGAGATGAGAGGTACATGAGTAACTTGAAGATGGAAGGTTAGGGTGAGGGGCAAGCAGCTAGAGCAGAAGACAAAGAGAGAAATGGTTGCCTCGTAGTATTAGCAGGATGGTTAAGAGGCACCAGAAAAGATGGCTAATAAAGAAATGACTCTAGTTCCACAATATGGAACTGAGAGCTCTCTAAAGATGACAAGATGCCTGTGTTTGGTCTTTATCGCCGTTGGGTGGCTCGAAGCTTCCAGGTCCACACCCCCCACTCAGGTATCATGGTCTAAGGCTGAGACATGCTGTGTCACGACAGGCTTCTCAGTCTCTAGAGCTGCTGCTTTCATGACCAAAATGTCACAACCACTGGATGGTAACTCCCCAGTTATCCCTCTCCATTCCACCCCTTAGAAAATACTATTCTATTTTGTGTCCATAAATACGACTGTTTTTAGATACTCATGTGAGTGGATTCAGTAAGCATTTACTCTGCTGTGACTGACTTATTTCATTTAATACACAATGCCATCTATACCCATCCACTTAATCACAAATACCAGAACGCCCTTCATTTTCAAGGCTAGATAACATCCCAATATGTCAGTATGCTACATTTTATTCGCTCACCTGTCAATGAACTTCCAGATTGTTTCTATTTCTTGGCTACATTTAAGACAATGAAACACAGAACTCCTACATAGTATCATGAAGAAGCAGCTCAAAATGGATTAGATGTGAACATAAGATCCACAACTCTAAAGCTACTGAAGAAGACATGAAGGAAAACCTCATTCTGTTGATCTTAGAAATGACTTTTGTGTACACTATCAAAATCACAAGCAAAAACGGCAAAACTAGACAAGTACAATTACATAAAATGGTAAGGCTCTGAACTACAAAAGGGAAACTTATGAAATAAGAAAATATTTGCAGGTTTTCTGTCTCCCTAGTGCTGGAATTAAAGGTGTGTGCCACCACTGCCTGGCCTACATGGCTAACTAGTGTTGCTAGCTCTGCACTCTGATCTTCAGCCAAGCTTTATTTGTTTCAGCACAAACAAAATATCACCACATGAAAAGAACTCCATTAAACTAATTTTACCATGACACCAATACCATTTAAGAACACAACAAAATGAAGGAAATTACCGACCACTAATAGGAGTTAAGTCCCACTCAGTAAGAGGGAATTCGTGCCTAGTACTGCAAACCTAGCCAACTACTTGTAACTGATGAGATCATGTATCATAGAGGAGAATCTGCTATTATCACTTTTCTAAACCAGAATAATTCCTAACTTCATTCTAAATATGTATTCTTATGCCCAAAGATAGGTGCATCTCTCACTCCTCATCAAAGAAGCTTCTCTTACAGTAGACACAATCCATCACAGAAATCTACAACTGGTCAAAATACAGAGAACTGACCCTGGAATGCCCATTTCAAATTGCTATGTCTATATCAGAACTCCACCACCTAAAGCTCAGGAACATCACAGAAGTGGCAGAAAGTTTGCAAGAGCCAAATGACCAGGATATCAGGAAAGCTGCACCTGTGAAATGAAATCTCAACAAGTTTTGCTCAATGACAGCACAAGCTGACATGCCAGCATTGATGAGTGCAATCTTACAAGATTCTAACCCTAGAGAAAAATTTAAAAGAAATAAATGGCTGCTGAGAGGGGGAGAACCAGTCTTCTCTAGGGACAAGACCCTTGATATGAAGGAACAGAACAAACTCCATTTTGAGAAAAAGTGTTACTAGAGTTTTCTTTTGTCCTGCCAGGCCCCACAGCTGTTTCCGCCCCAAATAAACACACATACGTTGTATTAGTTATAAAACTTTTGACCGATGGCTAGGGCTTCTTATTGGCTAGCTCTGTCTTAATTATTAACCCATAACTACTCATCTATGTGTTTCTACATGGCTTTATCTTACCAGAGAATGCCTGGCATGTCCTGTCTTCCAGGTTTCTACATGGAGTCCCCTCTGGTCCCTCTCTGCCTACCTCTCCCAGAATTCTCCTCATCTCCTAGCCCCCCCCTATCTTCCTGCCTCTACTAGCCAGTGTTTCATTCATCAACCAATAAGAGAAACACATTTACAGAAGGACATTCCCCCATCAAAAAAAGCCTACATTTTCATACATGGCCCAGGGCTCCAGCCAAGGAGCTATAAACAGTTCTAAGAAAAGCCATAAACTATGCCTGCCCCAATCAAAACAACCCCACCCAGGTAGTCAGCCAATGACTAACTCTGGTAAACAATATCTGCTTGCCCCAGATGTCCTTGTGAGCAACTGTTAGAAACAGTTTTTAGAATTCCCCTAGGTTTCAGCAAATGAATTTAAATGTCACAAACTTTTACCCAATCCTGAAACGCCAAAGCATTTACCAACCTGCTTTCAGGTTTTCCCTTGTAAAAATCCCTTACTCTAAGAGCTCGGGCCATTCTCCTTTACCCACTTGTCAGAGTACTTGTTGATGGTCCAAACTCAAGCCTGTAACCAATAAACCCCTGTGTGTTTGCATAGGTTACTGGCTCTGTGGTGGTCTGGATCAGGGGTCTCAAGACTTGGGCACAGCAGATAGATTATCCAATCTCAAGTAGTCAGCCTTAAGCTAAGACTCAGCAGGGGATATAATTATATATATATATATATATATATATATATATATACATATATTATGTTATGGATTTGAGAAGAAATGGAGAGGGGACATATGAGGAGCTGGAGTGGAAAGACTGTGTTGGAAATAATGTAAATACAACAATAACGTATATACATGTATACAAACAGCACAGTATGAAGTACTCAAAATAAAATAAATATAAAAAATATACATTGCCAACCAAATTCAATTACATATCAAAAGATCATTCAACCTGACCAAATGAGCTTTATTCCAGGAATTTTAGTATGTCACAACATGCGTAAATCAATAATTGTAATTGTGATCTTGGTTATCAACGTGACTACATCTGAGATCAGTTAAAACCTAAACAGCTGACCACACCTGTGAAGAACTTCACTTGATCGGATTATTTGAGGCCAGAAGACCCACTCTAAATCTGGGATACATTTACTGGTGGCAGCCTAAGTAAAAGGATATAGAAGTATTTTACTCTTTTTGCCTGCTCATCTTCACTCTGGAAAGTTCATCTATCTTGCCTCTAAAGGATTCCTTCCTTCTAT